AAAATGTGGGAGGGGCTCTTGGAGACCCAAATGTAGCTCATTTGCTCAACAAGTACAAAAGCTTTTGAGTTTGACCCCACCACAGCACAGAGGACATGGTGGTACATGGCTATAATCTGACACTCTGTGTGTGGAGGCAGAAGAGCCAGATCAGCTGGCAGCTGACAGGTTTCATTTTTTTTCTGAATTAACTTGTAGAGAAGTTAGTGAAGCTTGGTAGTTTGGAGGTTCTTGTTTGTTGTAGTTCTGTTTCTTTGAAAATTTACATTTTTTCAGTTTGTTGTGCATTGATTTTGTTAGTCAATTTTTCAAATGGTATTTGTTAGGAAATTTCACTGCAAATGCATTTTGTTTTGATAGTGACTGATTTCGGCCGCGTCAGCTTCTTTACTGGAGGTTGAAGTTTGAGGTATCTGGACTTCATTCATTAGTCCCCAGGGTATCTCTTGACAGTTTTTAATGCCTGGTCTTCTGCAGCTGGTTGTAGCTTGCTGTGTTAAAGGAGGAGTCCCCCTTCACCTCTCCTTCCTTTCTTCTCTCTCTGGTTGTTGTCCGGGGACTTAGCTGGCTCCTCAGGCGTGTGGATGGAGTGAGGGTTTTGTCAGATGCTCTGCAGGGGGCAGAAGCTCCAGTGTCCCTGCCCTTGCCTCTTCCATCTTCTAGTCCAGTGAGCTGTCAGATCCACTGAGCGTCAGGTAAAACGGGTGGGACAGTGACTGCAGGGTGTCGTGTGTGGTGGGGATGGGAGTGCTTTAAGTGGTGATGATCAAAAGTAAAATGACTTTCTGCAAGGGCTTAGTAGGTAGAGACTTGCATGTTTCTCTTTGGTGTTCGGAGCCTTCGGGAAATACTAACAGGGAACAGTGGTGGAGAGGGCACTGAGCAGTGACCTGAGGTAGATTATCAGGCTTCAGGAGGAGAGCGTCATGAAGCTGCCTTCATTGTATGGCTCTTGAGCAGGGTGCCGGCCAAATTTGTTGTTTTGCCTTGCTGAGGACTGAACCGAGAGGCATGTTAGCCGAGGTCTCTTACCACTAACTATCCCTGGCCCCGGTTTTATATTGACATATTTAAATATGCTTGTGGGCTGATTTTACTAATAGAATCTTAGGGTAAGAGTTGGGGAAACATTCACTTTGTTACACATGGATTTGATGTGAGCTTGCTGGAAAACTGTCCTGCTCCTGTGCTTACATGACTGATTTCTGGACCCAAAGTGAGCGTGACAGTGGGCTGGAGCGGTAATTGCCCACCTACCATCAGGAGAGCCTAGGGCCGATGTTTCCCAGTGAGCCTGCCTGAGGTGGTACTGTTGAGGGCTCCAGGAGCTCTAGCATGCAAGGACAGCCTCTGGCTTCCGGAGCCCAGGAGAGGGACAGGGTCTGGTATACCCGCTGAAGCTTTTGCTTTTGTAGCTTTGGTTTTATTTTGGTTTGTTTTTCTGAGCTAGGATCTTGCTGTGCCGTGCAGGCTGGCCTTCAACACTGTCCTTCTGGAGACCTCTGTGCCCCAGTGCTAGGAACGCAGACATCTAGCACGGTGCCTAGCATAGCCCATGGTCTTCAGCAGTTACCCATCTATACACCTACCTCCTGGGGAAGAGTAAGATGCTGTGCGAATGCAGGAAACCGCTTCTACTTTTAAAGAACTTACTTTTTGCGTTCATCCTTGGAAGAGTCACAGATAAAACTGAATTTGAAACAAAAGGTTAAACTTTGTGAGCATCATTCTTCAGGCTTTAAAGACTTTTTTTTTTTTTTTTAAGATTTTATTTATTTATTATGTATACAGTCTTCTGCCTGCATGCCAGCAGAGGGCACCAGATCTCATTTAAGGTGGTTGTGAGCCACCATGTGGTTGCCTGGAATTGGGCTCAGGCTCAGGACCTCTGGAAGAACAGTCAGTGCTCTTAACCCTGTTTCCTTTTAACCCCTGGCCCATCTCCCCCCCCCATGTTTTTTTTTTTTTTTTTTTTTTTTTTTTAATGTCACTTGCAAGGACCCATGTTCAATCCCTAGTGCTAAACAAGTGTTTGTGGTTTTCTTTTATAACAATATATGTGTAAATTTGAGTAGACACTATCTTTTTAAAACTTTTTTTCCTTTTTTAAAGATTTATTTATGTGTATGTGTGGCTTTGCCTTCGTGCATGTCTTTGTACCTCCTGTGTGCCTGGGGTCCGTAGAAGACAGAAGACAGCGTGCTGTCTCCTGGAACTGGAGTTACAGATAGTTGCTGTATGGTGCTGGAATCCAAACCAGGTCCTCGCCGGGCTTTGGTGGCGCACGCCTTTAATCCCAGCATTAGGGAGGCAGAGGCAGGCGGATCTCTTGTGAGTTCAAGGCCAGCCTGGTCTCCAGAGTGAGTGCCAGGATAGCCTCCAAAGCTACACAGAGAAACCCTGTCTCAAAAAAACCAATAAATAATAATAATAATAATAATAATAATAATAATAATAAGCTACACAGAGAAACCCTGTCTCGAAAAAACCAATAATAATAATAATTAATAAATAAATAAATAAATAAAGCAGCTCCTCTGCAAGAACAGCTGGCACTCAACCTCTGAGCCATCTCTCCAGTATTCCCCTCCTTTTTTTTTAATAGGTGTAACCTAGGGTGGCCTCAAACTCTCCATCCTTTTGCCTCTACCTTCTGAGTGCACTGTGCCCTTCCTCGGTGTATGAATATGCATTTCTGGTTTGTTCTTTGTGTGTTTTTTGTTTTGCTTTGATTTTTGAGTTTTTTTTTGTTTTGTTTTAATTTTTCTTTCTTTCTTGAGACAGGGTTTCTTTGTGTAGCTTTGGAGCCTGTCCTAGAATTCACTATGTGGACCAGGCTGGCCTCTAGCTCACAAAGATCCGCCTGCCTTTGCCTCCCAAGTGCTGGGTGTGCACCACCACCAACTGGCTTAATAAAAAGTTTTTGTCTTCTTTTTTTCTTTTTCTTTCTTTTTCTTTTTTTTTTTTTTTTAAGTAAAATAGGAGCAAGATGATTAGTGTGGAGCGAGAGAGATGGCTCATCGGTTAAGAGCACTTGCTGCTCTTCCAGAGGACCCTGGGTTTAGCTTCCAGCACCCACATAGCACCTCAAAATTTTCTGTAACTCCAGGTCCAAGGTACCCAACACCCTCATACAGACATACATGTAGGCAAAACACGAGTGCACATAAAGAAAAATTTTTAAAGAAGATTGGTGTGCCTTAGTTAGCAGACTTATGCTGCCCAGGAAGCCCTGCATAGATGCCCAGCCACACAGAGTAAGTGACTGTCCCAAGTCTCAGAACTCGGTTAGTGGGAGTTCAAAGTCATCTTCAGCTGCATGTAGTAAGTTGAAGGCTAAAAGTCTGGACTATATGAGACACTGTCCTTTAAGTTTTTTCTTTTTCTTTAATTAAAATAAAAACAACCAGGTATGAAGACACATGCCTATAATCCTAGCACCTAGGAAATGGAGAGAAGAATAATAGTTCCATCAAGGTCATCCTTGGCTATATCATGCGTGTGAGGAGGCAACCTGGCCTACATGAAACCTTGTCTTAAACACCACTTAATCAACCAAATGAATAGAGTAAACAAGCCAAAAGGAAAAGTTAAGCTGTCTAGTCTTGTCGAACAGCTCTAACTGCTGACATGTTTCTAAAGGTGAGATCTGCCCAACTGTCTGTGCTCTCCTCCCTTCGTCCCTCGAGTCTTCCAGGCAAGAGATGGCTGCCCCCAAGACTATGGGGCAGCCTTGTCCTGAAACTAGTAGATGAAACCAGAGGAAGATTCCAGAAACCACCAGTAAGCAACAAAGGAAGTAGAACAGAACTATAAAGCCGATAAGCTTGCCCCTGGTGACTTCTTCCTCTAGGGTACACCTAATAGTTCCATAACCTCCCCCAAACAGTGCCACTGGCTGGAGACCAGATGCTCAAGCACATGAATGAGCAGGAGACATTTCTCATTCAAACTATCAGCCCTATTTTCTTTTTGTGATACTGGAGACTGGAATTCATGACCTTGTCTATGCTAGACAAGTTCTATACCACTGAGCTATGTCTCCAGCTTAAGTTACTGGGACACTTGTTTATCTAGAATTAGATGGGCAGTGTGGTAGCCCATTCCTTTAATCCCAGCACTTGGAAGGCAGAGGCAAGTGGATCTCTGTGAATTTGAGGCCCACCTGATCTGTATCAAGAACAGCCATGGCTATGTAGAGAGACCCTGTCTCAACAAACAAAACGATCAGGGTTTTTTGTTTGTTTGTTTTTTGAGAGATGGGTCAGCGGTTAGTTGGATTCAGTCACCAGTGCCTACTTAGTGGCCTACAACCATCTGTAACTATAGTCCAGAGGGTCTGATGCCCTCTTTTGCCCTCCCAACACTAGGCACATATGTACTCGTGTGATGTACATACATAGAGGCAAAATACCTAGACACATAAAAACAATAATTGGGGTGGGGAGAAAGCCAGGTGGTGGTGACACACACCTGCAATAATAGCACCCAGGAGGTAGAGGCAAGTGGATCTCTTGAGTTCCAGGACAGCCACAGCTACAGAGAGAAACCCTGTCACACAAAAAGGGAAAAAAAGAATTAATTAAACCAGGTGCAATAGCATGCAGCTTTCATCCCAGTACTCTGGAGGTGGGGGAAGGTATATTTCTTGAGTGTGAGGCCAGTTTGGTCTATCTAGTAAGTGCCAGAGATGACTCATGCCTGTAACGTTTGGGAAGCTGAGGCAGGAGGATTGCTGTGAGTTTTGAGGCCAGCCTAGAGGAACACCCTGTCTCAGAATAAGAAAACCAGGACAAGCTCCAAAGCTACATAGAGAAACCCTGTCTCAAAAAGAAAAGAAAAAAAGGAAGAAAGGACCAAACAGAAGTTGGCTTGATCAGTCAGCACTTGATGGGGCTCAGGCCTGTCGGTCATTGTAGCAAGTGGGAGGCTCAAGTGTAAGGACACCTAGACTGTAAGTTTGAGGACAGTCTATACTTAGGAGTGAGAGCCCTGTTTCCATGCTCAGTTTGGCAGCATACATACAAAAATCAGCTCAAATCAGAAAAGACTAGCATGGCCCCTGCTAAAGAATGACATGAAAATTACCCAGAAGCAGTTGGGTTGGGGGGTGGGGAACCTCTGGATTTGAAAGGGGGCAAGGGAGGCAATATACTTGGGAGGGTTTGGAGAGAGAAAGAGGGAAAACAATGTAATTATAATATCAGATGATAAGAAAATAGGAGCCAGGCATTGGTGGAACACACCTTTAATTCCACCGCTCTGGAGGCAGAGGCAGGCGGATCTCTGTGAGTTTGAGGCCAGCATGGTCTACAGAGCAAGTGCCAGGACAGGCTCCAAAAAGTTATTTGGAAACACATAGCCTACATGTAGCTTCCCACTCTAACCTTTGTGTTTCATTTCATTCTCAGTATTTTTTGTTTGTTTTTTGTTTTGTTTTGTTTTTCGAGACAGGGTTTCTCTGTGTGGCTTTGGAGGTTGTCCTGGCACTCACTCTGTAGGCCAGGCTCGCCTCAAACTCACAGAGATCCACCTGCTTCTGCCTCCAGAGTGCTGGGATTAATGGTGTGTGCACCAATGCCCAGCTATTCTCTGCATTTTTTAAATTATTTTCTTGAGATTGTAGTATAGTTAATTTTTCCCCCTTTCATTTCCTGCAGCCCCTTCTCTGTGTCTCCCTCTTGCTCTCAAATTCATGAACTTTTTTCTGTTAAGTGTGTGCATGCATTCCTAAGTATATAAATACAACCTGCTCATTTGTATTGCTTGTTTCAGGGCTAACTATTTGGTATTGGACCAAGATGCTGTCCACCTGTAACTCGGGTTCTTGCCTCTCATTTCTGTTGTAGGTGTTCCATCCTTGCTTGCAGTGCTTACGTGGCTCTGGCCTTAGGTGATAACCTCATGGCTTTGAGTCATGCAGACCAGCTCCTTCAGCAGCCCAAGCTGTCTGGCTCTCTTAAGTAAGTGTGACTTCACCTGCACTCACAATTGTTTCCTGGGTTCTGGGTCGTCTCTGCATGGATGTGTGCTGCTGAGGGAAGCACAGGCACATGGTGGTGTGTGACTGTCGTCCCAGGACTTCCAAGCCAGTCTCGGACACATACCGAGTTCAAGGCTAGCCTAAGCTACGTGAGAGAGACCCTGTCTCAAGAAAAGGAGGGAAGAAGGAAGGGCAGGCAGACAATGGTAGTTCATAGCTATAATCCCAGAACTCAGAAGTTGAGGCAGGAGGACTAATTGCTTTGAGTTCAAGCCCACCAGGGCCATATCTTGAAAAACAAAACAAGAAAGAAGTCTAAAACGCTCCACAAAGGTACCTAGATTGATAGTATGCTTGCTCAAATGCATGAAGCCCTGGGTTCAATTGCAGCATCCACATAGCATGTGTCACTTGTGCGTATAATGCCAGCAGTGGAGGTGCAGGGTGGCAGCAGGATCAGAAGTCTGCGATACATGGAATCCCATCTCATGTTTTATTTACTTTTAGGCAGGACTTCACTGTGTAGCCCTGGGTGGCCTGGCTTCTTACCTCTCTCCTGTGCTAGAATTAAAGGTGTACTCCACCTTGCCTGGCTTATGTTGTGGGGTTTTTTTGGGGGGTAATTTAATTTATTAGTAGTATATGTGTGAGTAACTGTGCAGGTGCCACACTCTGTGGAAGTCAGGGGACAGCTCTTGAGAGCCCAGTCACCTTCCACCTTCTGGAGCCAGTGCCTCCTGCTGTTTCTGCCACTTTGATGAGTCCTCCAGGAGGGGGTGGGAGACAGGGACTGATATGGTGCTTAGAGAACAGGTTTTCTTGAAATAGTTCTCTCCTTGCAGCATTTTCAAGCACTATTACCTACTAAGCCATCTTACCAGCCTCTCTGAATCTGCAGTGGGTTTTTCTTGGGGGGAGGGGGGGCTCTGAGACTTGACCGCTGATTCTGAGCCACTGGAAAGTGAACCCAGGTCTCTAAAAGACCAGTCTGTAACATTGGAGCCATCTCTCCAGCTCCTCCTACAATGTTTTTGTTGTTGGCGTTTTGTGTTCCCTGTCTGTCTGGTTTTGGTGTTTGTACAGATGGAGGTGTGAGAAGGCACATGCCATGTGGCAGTCAGAGACCAATTGAAAGAGTTAGCTCCTTCCTTCCAGCACAAGGCTCCCAGGGATTGAATTTAGGACATAAGATTTGGTGGCAAGTGAAGTGGCTTCACCCACTGATCTCTTGCTGGCTTAAAACAACCTAAACTTAGACATGGAGTGTGGGAATCCCAGGTCCAGGTGTTCCTGTACACTATGCGTTTCTGTGATGACCTGTTCATCAGGCTGAAATCTGCCATTTCATTTCAGGTTTCTGGGCCATTTGTATGCTGCAGAAGCTCTCATCTCCCTTGACAGAATATCTGATGCCATTACGCACTTGAACCCAGAGAATGTCACTGATGTCTCCTTAGGGATCTCTTCGAATGAGCAGGACCAAGGTTAATGAGGACACATTTGATTAGAACTGGTCATTGTTGCCACTTCCTTCCTGTTGTAATTCAGGATATGTAGAGACCTAAGGGCATGGTTGTGAAGGGAAGGAAGTTTGAAGTCAGCTCTCCATGTTTATGGCTGTTCTTACTATGTAGCAATTGTCTGCTAAGTAAACCTGGAAACTGATTGTCACATGGCCTAAATTGTCACTCAAAGGCTGATAATGTTAGGGTTCTTCCCTTCCCTTCCCTTCCATTCTATCCCTCCCTTCCTTCCTTCCTTCCTTCCTTCCTTCCTTTCTTCCTTCCTTCTCCCCACCCTCAACCCCCCCCCTTTTTTTTTACGAGACATAATCTCACTGTTTGCCCAGGCTGGCTTCAAACCCCTGAGCTCATGCCATCCTCCAGCCTGTCTGGACCTTTTTTCAGTCTAGCATGACAGACTTTGGTGTCAGCTCACCCTGCTTAAGAGGGTTCATTGGGTTTGGCTCTGACACTATTTTTCCTCTGTTCGAGAGGGAATGGAGGCGTGGTTTTCAAACAATTTTCATTCACGTTGTAACTTTCTGAGGCTCTGAAGCCATATAGTCCCCTCTCTTCATGGCTAGCTCACATGGGGTGGTGGTGAGATTGCACCCTGGCGCCTTTAACAAAGCCTCCACGACACCAAAGCAAGCACTGCCATACTTCCCGTTCCTACTTGGTAAGAAACTTAGGTGTTGAGAAGATGTGCTGTTGTCCTGCCCTCAGATGTATTTTCATGTGTTTGTAGGATCAGACAAGGGTGAAAATGAAGCAATGGAGTCCTGTAAGTAAGAAGTTTTGTAAATCCTTAAGTAGCCTGGCCTGCATCCCAAAGACTTAGACCCTGCATCTCTGTGTCCTTCGTGTATCTGTCAGCCTGAGGAGTAGTGCTTTGTTCCAGTGCTCAGCCATGGAGTGGTGCTCCACCACTTGCTCAGCGGTGGAGTGGTGCTCCCTGTCCTCTGCGCCGTCCCTTTCATCACTGTCTACGCTTTCTCCTCAGCTGGCAAGCGCGCCCCTCAGTGCTACCCCAGTTCTGTCAACTCTGCCCGGACCGTGATGCTCTTCAACCTGGGCAGCGCGTACTGCCTGAGGAGTGAATATGACAAAGCCCGGAAGTGTCTGCACCAGGTGAGAGGACATGGACAGGGTGGCACTCACTGGTGCACACCAGCCATTAAAGGACCTGACTTTATGGGGTTTTATTTGAGGTTAATGGTCAATTTGTTAAACACCTAAAATATTTTTCCAGGTTTAAAATATTCTTGGGGGTGTAATGGGGCACACCTTTAATTCCAGCATTCAGAAGGTAGGGACAGGTGGATCTCTGTGAGTTCCAGGCCACCCTGGGCTATGTAGGAAGACCCTGTGTGCTGGCTAGTTTTATCTCAGCTTTATAAAAGCTAGAGTTATTGGGAAGAGAGACTCTTTGAGACAATGCCTCCATAAGATTGGCCTATAGGTACGTCTGTAGTGCATTTTGTTTGTTTGTTTTTTGAGACAGGGTTTCTCTGTGTAGCCTTGGCTATCCTGGAATTTGCTCTGTAGGCCAGGCTGTCCTTGAACTCAGAGATCTACCTGTTGGGATTAAAGGCTTTCACCACTGCTGCCACCACTGCTTGGTGCATTTTCTTAATTGGTGATTGATGGGGGTGGGTGCTGTAAGAAAGCAGACTGAGTAAGCCATGGGGAGCAAGTCAGGAAAACAGCATTCCTCCATGGCCTCTGCCTCCTTGGCCTGTGCATGAGCTCCTGCCTCCAGGTTCTTGCCTTGTCCATGAGTTCCTGTCTTGTCTTCCCTGGGTGATGGATTATAAGCTGTAAGTGGAAATAAACCCCTTCCTCCCCAAATTGATTTTGTTCATGGTGTTTATCATAACAGTAGAAAACCTAAGACCGCCTTTCTCAAGAAAAAAAAAAAGGTAAAACACAAGAAAAGAACATCATGAGAGAACCTGTGTTCTCCCATGTTGTTGGGGAGACTGACAGTATCTGAAAGTGACGGGACTGTGTGCTATATCATGGAAAATAACCATGCCTGAGCTGTAGTCACCTTAGTGTCAGCATTTCTAGTGCAAATCAGAAAGTCAGGGTTGAGCTCTCTAGGGACCCTCTAGGAGCTGAGCTGTGAACTGCAAGAGGTGAAAAGTGTTGTGTTCTCAGCCATGGGGCTGTGTCTCCACCAGCCCTTCTGATGCCCCCAGCCCTGGCCCCAGTAAACAGCAGGGCTTCTGATCTGCAGTTAGTGTGCATAGTCAGCTCAGGTCCTCTTCCTGCAGGTAGCCATGCATGCAAGAAGAGACAGATGAGGTCAGTCCTGCTTCGGGGCTCTGAGGTTTGTTTTTGGTCTCTGTTCTTTGATTAATCCAGTGGCAGGGCTTTTGTTAATTGGGAGGCCCGCCCTGTCTAGGAGGGCAGAACAATGATATGGAGAGTCAGAAAGGGCTCTGAGCTAATGCTTCCAAAGTAAGGCCCCCTATCCCCATTCTGAGCAGTCAGCAGCCAGTGCCCTTAAGTCTCAGAAAGTTGTTGTCTTGAATTCTTAGATCAGAAAAACTGTAGGTTGTAGTTGATGCCAAGAACAATAGAAAATGACCTATGCTTATTAGACACTAAAATAAT